ATATCTAGTAACTGTTAAGCTTTCTCATTGTTTTTATGTAAGGGTTCATACAACCTTAATGCGTAATACTGGCATACGATGATTGACATTCGATGTTAAAGAAACAAATGGTGATGATGGAACAATTTTCGATGTTTAATTAATTGATCCGCCTGGTTATTCAACATCCATTGAACTAACTATTCTCAAGCAATTCGGGGCGCGCGTACAGCCGACGAACGCGTTCATTAATGCCTCTTCCACGTATAAACGGCGACAATGTATGAGTTATTAAGAATACTTATTTCATACGTGGCGTGTACTAACTCGGGACACGGTTTCACGTGCAGCACGAGAGGAGTCAATAACCTGGCTAGCCGACCCCGGAGTACAATGTAAATTCGCGATAAAGGTACGATAAACTTTGGTATGATGAACTCTGACGTTTCGACGTTAACCCTTTGCTCTCCGCTGGCGCCGCGGTTGCAAGCACAATTGTTACTCTGTCGTTTGAGTTATCAATGGAAATGAACAAAATAATTGAGCTTTTATTAAAACCTAATTAATCTAATCGCTCCACGAGTCATCGCTAAATCACGCGTACGACCGATTGCATCGAAAGAGTACAAGAATTAAATGACGACATTTTCACATTATGCGCGTCGATTAACATCTACCAGAAATTAATCGACGCTTCTGTTTTTCCCTGATCGAGAATATCGATTCCGTCGCGCAGTAAGTAATTTCATCCAAATTTAAAACGTGATCTAACGAGCGGATCGGTCTGCCCGACGGTCACATATAGTATACCTGCGACTTTTTTTTACCGGTTGCTCGAACGTATTACACCCACGCGGCTGTCACGCTTTGCATATCGCGTTCCGCTATTTCTTAGTGTTTACGAGCGATTCGATCGCCGGTTACATTCCGCACGCGCTTACTCTCGTGGAAACAAGTGGACCCCATACCTGGCTGCATGGAAATTCAACGATAAGACACGCTCCCTTTGTCGCTACCGTCCAGATAAAACTGCGTCCAAATTCAATGCGCAGCGCGCTGCGTATTACAGAAATAGCTCGCGAGCAATATGCTTATTATTTAATGCAAATATCAGTGCATGTGAATTACGCGTTCCGAATTTTAAACGTGATCTAATACTGGAACGCGCTACTAGCTGCTGGTGTTTATTTATGGACACCAAAGTGAGATACAAGTGAGAGTCATACACGAAATAATTTACACATGTAGTTAATTTGAAACAGATACTAAGCACACTGTTCTAGATAGATACGTTCTGTTTAGATGGCTCGAATATAATGGGTCAATTACAAGTTTAATGATAGCTAGTATGGCATTCCATGTGGCACGAAGAGTTCCATTTATATATTCCTCGATATAATTTTGTAGAATTAATCTTTGCGATTGCGAAACATCGTCGCAAAGTATTCTGGGAGATTGACGAGTACACACGACCGACAGATTAGGCACGACCATAGGAATTCAATGTGTTAATTTTTTAAACATGCAACGACCAACTCGTGTGGCAAGCGATGATGTCAGAAAACATAAATTATTACTAGATTTGTGGATTTTTTATGCAATTATAGCAAATTTGTATGTAAAGAAAATTTATCTACTGTAAAATAATTGATGTAAATTTCAAGTAATTAAATTATAAAAATGAGAAATTGCATTCATGAAAATATGTTTTAAGAAGTATTTTGCATAAAAAACCGCAGTCGAATTATGAAACTCGTTCCATCGATTTTCTAACTTCGATGAGCCATGTTAATCCAGGTATCGGTTATTTGTTGTCGCCCCGCGTCCCTACGAATTGACACGTCGCAAGTACTTTTAAATCGCGATGACAGCCACGATATTTATAATACGATCTGTAAAGAGGCCCGATCGTCATCTCGTAACTTATCAAGATCCGCGGCTTGTCTGTCGATACATATAAGGATTCCTGTTAGCACCGTGACAAACCCCTTCGCGTTCCTCTCTTTACTTACACACATGCCCCGGAGACATGCACGACGTGCCTGGCTAGAGGTATAGACGCGTAATCAACTTAAACGCGGAGATCAGTTTATCTCCGATGATGATAATCGTCGATCATCTCGACATTAAACCGCAATTAACATACCATACCGGATACGGATACAGTTAATAACCTCCGTCTAATTACGCAACTTTTCGTCACGGTCTCATAAATAATGATTGCTTAGAATAAATCGCAGACACCCAAAAACTGTTATTCCTAATCCGAGAAATTTTTGCCTTCTGCGTTGAACTTTTTCCAAGACAATTTTTTAACTAGCTTCGACGTACCATAAAACGGATACGGAAAGTTCGATTTTCGTTACGTGAAGTCTCTCGAAG